TTGTATGGGGCTGTGAACACTTCAATGTGTATCTGCTTGGTGCACTCTTCACTACGATAGTCACTGACCACAAACCGTTGGAGACCATCTTCAATAATCCAAAGTCCAAACCACCAGCTCGCATTGAGAGATGGGCTCTTCGTCTGCAACCATACAACTTTACAGTGAAATACAAGCCGGGTGCAGGCAATCCCGCTGATTACATCAGTCGACATCCTGCCAACAGTTTCACCATCACCAAGCATCAGCAAGTTGCCGAGGAATATGTACACTCTGTAACCTGTGATGCAGTCCCTAAGGCTCTCACTCTTGATGAAATCCGTACTGCATCCCTAGAGGACCCAACTCTGCAAGCAACAGTGGATGCATTGACGAAAAAGTTTCCACGCATCCCACCCTCAGGAGTTGAATGCTCAAGATGCATTCAAAGCACTTGAACGCATCCAGACAGAATTAAGTGTTACGCAACAACGCGACACCGTGCTGTGAGGTACTCGTATCGTCATTCCAGCTGTTCTCCAGCAACGTGCTCTGAAGCTTGCACATCAAGGACACCAAGGTCTTGCTAGGACCAAACAGCTGCTACGAGAAAAGGTGTGGTTTCCTGGCATTGATCGTCAAGCAAAGGATATGCATGATGCCTTTTCCCTTGCCAAGCTGCAGTGGATAAATGAAGACCAACACCTCTACAACCTTCATCACTACCTGCTGCACCATGGACGGAAGTATCGATGGACTTCTGTGGACCGTTACCAACTGGAGAGTACTTGATGGTAGTCATTGATGATCACTCACGTTATCCAGAAGTAGAAATCATCACTTCCACATCTGCAAAGGCTGTCATCCCGAAACTCGACAAGATCTTTTCAAACTTTGGCATTCCTGAAGTTGTCAAGACGGACAATGGACCGCCATTCAATTGACAAGACTTCGTCAACTTGTCTGAGAATATTGGATTCAAACACCGCCGTGTGATGCCACTACATCCTCAAGCAAATGGAGAAGTTGAGAGATTCATGCAACCTCTCATGAAAGCGGTACGCTGTGCTCAGGAACTACCGTGCAACACCGCATGGAACACTGGGCAAGTCGCCTGGCGAACTTATATTTGGACGTCCTATGAGGATCACACTACCTGTCATGCCAGCCGAGGCAACGGATAAACGTCTCGCTCAGAAGGATGCACTAGCCAAGGGCAAAATGAAAATTGCTCATGATCAACGTGCAAAGGAACAATTCATAAAGGTTGGAGATACTGTTCTCGTTAAAAAGAAAAAAGAGGGAAAGCTAGATATGCCGTATGATACAAAACCATATAAAGTGATTAGTGTAAAAGGAACTATGGTAACAGCGAGTAATAGAGATCATAGTATAACACGTAATATGGCTTATTTCAAAGTGATTCCAACTAGTGTAGAAAATGATGAAGTGCAAAGTCGTACAAACGAAAAAGAAAAAATGAGTTATAACCCGACAAACAATTCATCAAGGGATATTATTGTATTTGGAGACTCTCGTCCTAAACGTCATGTTAAACGCCCTACACGATTTGATGATTAATTGTGTTCCTTTGTAATGCAAAGTATTTACTTATTATGCTAAACTAAATTTAATATTGTTTGAATAATGCAGATATCTCATTCAGTATTTTGTAACTTTGTATTACAGTTTCTTTCATGTTTAACATTGCATATGTATTTTTAACATTGAAATCCTTTGTGGTAAAGATTAAGTTCTTTAAATTCTTTGTGTGCTTAATTAATGTTAAATGTATGCAATATCTCTTGATATGTTAATAACTTACTTTGTGTTAATAACTTTGCTTTGTGCTACAAGCATGGTAGGCATCCTGTATTCATTCTTTTTAAAGAAAAGGAGGGATGTCATGTTCACAGAAAATGGTATCATCCATTTTCTATGTGCGGCAGCTCAGACGCCAGGAGGAGGTAAATAGAGAGCGTACAGGACGCCCGCCAAGCTTGGTAGCTACTAGTCATGTAATCGTTTATAAGTATTAAAGTCAGTAACCAAGCAATGGCTTTACATCAACCTTACAACCAAGACTTCCTCAGCTACACACAACACCACAGGTCCCACTGTGTGGAAGGGGTTTGGGTGTAGGGAGGGGGGGGATTTCTGATACTCACCTAATTGTAAACACTTAATTGTGCTTGCGGGGGTTGAGCTTCGTCTCTTTGGTCCCACCTCTCAACTGTCAATCAACTGGTGTACAGATTCCAGAGCCTACTGGGTTCTATCATATCTACATTTGAAACTGTGTATGGAGTCAGCCTCCACCACATCACTTACTAGGGCATTCCATTTATTAACTACAGTGACACTGAAAAAAATTCTTTCTAATCTCTCTGTGCTGGTATGCTCCAGAGGAAGTGTGAAAGTGGGGTGTTAACTTTTTGATGTGTAGTGCCTCGCTGATGTCGAGCCGCCTGATATCGCTGTATCTATCGATGATTTCTGTGTTGTTTGTTAAGAATTCTCTGGTGATGGTCTGGTTGTGAGAAGAGATTATATGTTCCTTGATGGCACCCTGTTGCTTATGCATTGTTAGCCGCCTGGAAGGAGATGTTGTTGTCTTGCCTATATACTGAGGGCTTACAGTCCCCAAGTTGGATCATTTAAAGGCATAGGCGACGTTGGTCTCCTTCAAAGCGTTCTGCTTGGTGTCTGGGGAGTTTTTCATGAGTAGATTGGCCGTTTTTTTTGGTTTAATAATAAATTATCAACTGTATTTTCTAATTTTTGTCTGTAGGGATGACTTTCCTATCAACAATATCTTTCAGGACCCTTTCCTTCCTTTTATGAGCCGTCGAAAAGAAGTTCTTGTAAAATAGTCTAATAGGGGTTACAAGTGTTGTGTTGGTTGATTCTACGGAGGTTGCATGGCGTTTCACCTTTCTTTTTATGATGTCTTCAACGAAACCATTAGAGAAGCCGTTGTTGACTAGGACCTGCTGAACCGTTCAGAGTTCGTCATCGACTTCTTTCCATCCTAAGCTGTGGCTGAGAGCACGGTCAACGTAAGCGTTAACAACACTCCTCTTGTACCTGTCTGGGCAGTCACTATTGGCATTGAGGCACATTTCTATGTTTGAAACAAACATAGTTTATATATATATATATATATATATATATATATATATATATATATATATATATATATATATATATATATATATATATATATATATATATTAGTATATTTTGGTAGCAGTCTTTCCTGTAGACATATATTATTAAATATGACCGAAAAAGTAAGATTAATAATTCTAACACGAATTTTCTCAATCTTTCATACATTACGCTTCACTGTTGGAGGTAAATCAAAATCACTTCTCCAAAATTCATTTTTATTTCTAGTCTGACGCGACACGGGCGCGTTTCGTAAAACTTATTACATTTTCAAAGACTTCACAAATACACAACTGATTAGAACTTACGTATCTCTGAGTTTATATCTACATTTGAGTGAGGTGGGAAGGGTGATGTGGCATTAGAACAAGATGGGATATTAATAGGGTATTAAAAGTATCAACACAAGACAGAACAGAAACAATGGGTATTGAATAGAAGTGTTTGTAGAAAGCCTATTGGTCCATATTTCTTGATGCTTCTATATTGGAGCGGAGTCTTGAGGTGGGTAGAATATAGTTGTGCAATAATTGGCTGTTGATTGCTGGTGTTGACTTCTTGATGTGTAGTGCCTCGCAAACGTCAAGCCGCCTGCTATCGCTGTATCTATCGATGATTTCTGTGTTGTTTACTAGGATTTCTCTGGCGATGGTTTGGTTATGGGAAGAGATTATATGTTCCTTAATGGAGCCCTGTTGCTTATGCATCGTTAAACGCCTAGAAAGAGATGTTGTTGTCTTGCCTATATACTGGGTTTTTTGGAGCTTACAGTCCCCAAGTGGGCATTTGAAGGCATAGACGACGTTAGTCTCTTTTAAAGCGTTCTGTTTTGTGTCTGGACACAAAGCAGAACGCTTTAAAAGAGACTAACGTCGTCTATGCCTTCAAATGCCCACTTGGGGACTGTAAGCTCCAAAAAACCCAGTATATAGGCAAGACAACAACATCTCTTTCTAGGCGTTTAACGATGCATAAGCAACAGGGCTCCATTAAGGAACATATAATCTCTTCCCATAACCAAACCATCGCCAGAGAAATCCTAGTAAACAACACAGAAATCATCGATAGATACAGCGATAGCAGGCGGCTTGACGTTTGCGAGGCACTACACATCAAGAAGTCAACACCAGCAATCAACAGCCAATTATTGCACAACTATATTCTACCCACCTCAAGACTCCGCTCCAATATAGAAGCATCAAGAAATATGGACCAATAGGCTTTCTACAAACACTTCTATTCAATACCCATTGTTTCTGTTCTGTCTTGTGTTGATACTTTTAATACCCTATTAATATCCCCTCTTGTTCTGTCTTGTGTTAATGCCACATCACCCCTCCCACCTCACTCAAATGTAGATATAAAATCAGAGATACGTAAGTTCTAATCAGTTGTGTATTTGTGAAGTCTTTGAAAATGTAATAAGTTTTACGAAACGCGCCCGTGTCGCGTCAGACTAGAAATAAAAATGAATTTTGGAGAAGTGATTTTTGATTTACCTCCAACAGTGAAGCGTAATGTACGAAAGATTGAGAAAATTCGTGTTAGAATTATTAATCTTACTTTTTCGGTCATATTTAATAATATATATATATATATATATATATATATATATATATATATATATATATATATATATATATATATATATATATATATATATATATATATATATATATGTAGCACCTCTAGTGCAATTGTAGGGACCCATAGCCTAGAATGTAGGGACCCATTTTTTAAATTCATATTTTGGTCTAATTTGAATATGAAATAACTGGAGCTAATTTTTTCTACAGTTGAAAGAATTGACAGCAATTGCAGGAGACATTACAATGATATATTTTTGCCAGGGTGACAACGGCCAAGGACTGTGCTGAACTGTACTGCCGGGGAGCAAGGCTGGATGGCGTCTACTTCATCAAACCTGACAGGTAATATTATGTCATCCAAACCATGCCAGGTTAACCATCCAGGTCGTGCCAGATTACCTATCTAGGTCGTGTCAGGTTTACTATCTAGGTCGTGCAAGGTTAACTATCTAGGTCGTGTCAGGTTAACTATCTAGGTCGTGTCAGGTTTACTATCTAGGTCGTGCAAGGTTAACTATCTAGGTCATGTCAGGTTAACTATCTAGGTCGTGTCAGGTTTACTATCTAGGTCGAGCCAGGTTTACTATCTAGGTCGTGCCAGGTTCACTATCCAGGTCGTGCCAGGTTTACTATCCAGGTCGGGCCAGGTTAACTATCCAGGTCGGGTCAGGTGAACCAACCAAGTTTAGTGAGATCAACCATACAGGTCGACAATCCAGGTCATGTCAGGTTAGCAGAACAGGCCGTGACAGTTCGACAGTACAGGTCATGATAGGTCAACAATTCAGGTCATGCCAGGTATACAATTCAGGTCATGCCAATTCATCCACCCAGGCTATTTATCAAGGTCATACTAAGCCAACAATCAATGTCATGCCATGTCAACCTTCAAGTTTGTGCCAGGTCAATCATTGAGGTCATTACAATCAAGGTCATGCTAGGCCAACAATCAGTATCATCCCAACAAACACAAAACGTCTCCGTGGTGTAGTGGTAAGACACTCGCCTGGCGTTCCGCGAGCGCTGTCATGGGTTCGTATCCTGGCCGGGGAGGATTTACTGGGCGCAAATCCTTAACTGTAGCCTCTGTTTAACGCAACAGTAAAATGTGTACTTGGATGGAAAAACGATTCTTCGCGGCGGGGATCGTATTCCAGGGACCTGCCCGAAACGCTACGCGTACTAGTGGCTGTACAAGAATGTAACAACTCTTGTGTATATCTAAAAAAAAAAAAAAAAAAACGTTTTTTGACAATTTTAGTGGGTTTCAGAAAGGTGACTCTGTAACTATTTATATAAAGACGTCTTTTTAACGTATAAAATACGTTAATTTGAGTCAGTCATATGAAAGTGGTTTTTTGTGAATGTATTTACCTAGTTGTAATCACCTAGTTGTGCTTGCGGGGATAGAGCTCTGCTCTTTCGGCCTGCCTTTCAACTGTCAATCAATCAAATGTTACTAACTACTAACTTATTTGTTTTAGTCCCCTCCCCCCCCCCCCCCACACACACACAGCACTTAGAGTAGTAGGCCAGCGACGGTAGGAGACACACGCGATTAGCGAGGTCCGCGGAAATTCGTCAATTTCTCGGGACATTGAAGGATTATAGAGGCTAGATCATAGTATTTGGCCTCTCGCAGTGTGTAGCTAGCAGGGTGCTACATAGCATAGTCATATCGCTAGCGATAGTGCGAAGAAACCAAAGTGTAGCTAGTGGCATCACCGGTGCATACAGTGTGGTGGACCGCGTAGAGCAACCTGACCTGACGGCCAGGTGGGACGACCCGCCGTGGAACTGCTGATTGTGTTTGTTGGGTGGTGACTGTGACTCCAGAGATTTGTGTAGATAGAGAAGAACCGCCATCATCAATCTACTAGCACTTAGAGAATCACCAAGTGGAAGGCGACGACGGAGCACCATCGTCAACCATACATCATCATTACTCATCTAGTTGTGTGAGCGGGAAGCAGACTGGTATGTACCCCCTCTCTGGTCAATTAATCAGGTGTACAGTGTGAGGTAAAATATTATCAAATTCTTGTTCAGGATAGTATATATATTTAAAATCTCAGAGTGGCTCATTCTGGGTAGAAGTTACCGCTTACGGGAACTCGTGACACACGCACGCACGCACTCAAGCCCACGTACGTATGCACGCACACACACGCACACACAGGCTAGAAGGGATTAACACCTTTCGTGGAAAGGGGATAAAACCTCTCATAATCCACCCCCTCTCTTACCCCTTCTCTTACCTGCCGTAAGCTGAACACCTCACCTCCTCTTAACCCCATCCCACGCGCACACACGTTCTCTCTCTCTCTCTCTCTCTCTCTCTCTTTTGCTCTCTCTCTCTCTTGTTCTCTCTCTCTCTTGTTTGCTCTCTCTTTCTCTCTCTCTCTCTCTCTCTCTCTCTCTCTCTCTTGTTTGCTCTCTCTTGCTCTCTCTCTCTCTCTCTCTCTCTCTCTCTCTCTCTCTCTCTCTCTCTCTCTCTCTCTCTCTCTCTCTCTCTCTCTCTCTCTCTCTCTATCTCTCTCTCTCTCTCTCTCTCTCTCTCTCTCTCTCTCTCTCTCTCTCTCTCTCTCTCTCTCTCTCTCTCTCTCTCTCTCTCTCTCTCTCTCTCTCTCTCTCTCTCTCTCTCTCTCTCTCTCTCTCTCTCTCTCTCTCTCTCTCTCTCTCTCTCTCTCTCTCTCTCTCTCTCTTGCTCTCTCTTGTTCTCTCTCTCTTTTTCGCTCTCTCTCTCTCTTTTGCTCTCTCTCTCTCTCTCTCTCTCTTGCTCTCTCTCTCTCTTGCTCTCTCTCTCTCCCTTGCTCTCTCTCTCTGCTCTCTCTTGACAAGGGGCAAAATGGCAGGAGGCCACAACAGGGACACGGGAAGCAGCCAGGGTGATCAAACGAAGGAATTGCTAACCCAAGTTCTGGAGGAATTCAGGAGGGAGATGAATGAAATGAGGATTACAATTAACAATCTGCAAAGTGAGCTGGCATCAGCAAGGGAGGAGATCAAATCTCTCACAGAGAAAAATAAAGAGACCGAGCATCAGATTATCATCCAAAGGGAAGGTGGGAATGTTACATTGGAAGGAAATGCCTCTGTACCTGAAACATTTGCGGAACGACTGAAAAAGAGCTCAGAAGCAATGGACACAGTGAGGGAGGTAGCGATGCAGGCAGCTACGTCACAGGAAGCAGCAAGGTGCACCACTCAACTGCTGGAAAGAAAAAGATCAGTGGTAGTTGTAGGCATCAAAGAACAGGAAGGATCCAACAGGCAAGAATGGAATGGCAAGGATAGAGAGGCAGTACATGGGCTACTGAAGGGGTTACAGATGGAAGGGGCTGTACATAACATTGAGAAGGTTTTCAGGTTGGGCTGGTACAACAAGGACAGAAACCGACTTGTAAAGGTGGTGTTTACAAACGAAACCATGAAGGAGGATATTCTCGAAAGGAAGAGTCGTCTGCAGCATGTGGAGGGATACAAAAAAGTATTCCTGCAGAGGGACAGGACGAAGGAGGAGAGAGCCAGGGCAGCAGAGGCAAGGAGAAAGCGCAGGGAGAGAGGAGCAAACCAGGAAATCACAGCCCCAGCACAACAGTCCCAGAGACAAGAGGGGAACCCAAAACCAGCATCCCAGCAATACCAGAGGGGAGGGCAACACCACCACCCCCCTCTGCATAGAAATCCTCCCTTCCCCTCACCCTACCCGCCCCCACCCCACCCTCCCTCCCCCCCACCCCATTCTGACCCTGACACCCCATCCCCATTCCCATCATGTCCCCCCTCCCTCCTTTCCCCCCCCCTGTCCCCCTCCCCCTTCATCCCATACCCTCCTTATCCCTCCTGCCCCCTCACCCCTTATCCTCCATGTCCCCCTATCTCCTTAACCCACACCCTACCTGTCCTTCCCTTCCCTTAAACCCCCACCCCCCACCCCAAAATCCTCTGAGACCCTGCAAACCACCTCACAGATCTTTTCACCCACGGAACAACTTCCCACACCAGCAGAATGCTCGCCAAGAAAGCGACATGAAAATGAACAGAAGAAAGTGAGCTTCAAGGCGATGTACACTAACATAGATGGGATTACAAATAAAACAAGTGAACTTGGAGAATGGGCACTAGGAGAAAACCCAGACATAATAGCACTCACAGAAACAAAGTTAACGAAAATACTTTTTACTAAAATAAATTCCACAGTCTCCGTGGTGTAGTGGTAAGACACTCGCCTGGCGTTCCACGAGCTCTATGTCAATAGCGCTAGCGGTACCTATGATACAGTATCGCGGCTTGTCTATGATACAAGGTACCATTTGGGAGATGAAATACTTCAAGAGTCAGAGAGACAGAAAGGCCTGGGGGTTGATATCAGGCCAGACCTGTCCCCTGAAGCTCATATCAAGAGGATAACCTCAGCAGCATATGCCAGATTGGCTAACATAAGTACGGCCTCTAGAAACTTGTGTAAGGAATCTTTCAGAACATTATATACCACATATGTCAGACCAATCCTGGAGTATGCGGCTCCAGCATGGAGTCCATATCTAGTCAAGGATAAGACTAAACTGGAAAAGGTTCAAAGGTTTGCCACCAGACTAGTACCCGAGCTGAGAGGTATGAGCTACGAGGAGAGTCTACGGGAATTAAACCTCACTTCGTTGGAAGACAGAAGAGTTAGGGGGGACATGATCACCACATTCAAGATTCTCAAGGGAATCGACAGGGTTGATAAAGACAGGCTGTTTAACACAAGGGGCACACGCACTAGGGGACACAGGTGGAAACTGAGTGCCCAAATGAGCCACAGAGATATTAGAAAGAACTTTTTTAGTGTCAGAGTGGTTGACAAATGGAATGCATTAGGAAGCGATGTGGTGGAGGCTGACTCCATAAAGAGTTTCAAGTGTAGTATTGATAGAGCCCAAAAGGCTCAGGAACCTGTACACCGGTTGATTGACGGTTGAGAGGTGGGACCAAAGAGCCAGAGCTCAACCCCCCGCAAGCACAACTAGGTGAGTACACACACACACACACACCAGGAAGTAGCCTGTAACAGCTGTCTAACTCCCAGGTACCTATTTACTACGAGGTAACATGAGCATCAGGGTGAAAGAAACTGCCCATTTTGTTTCTGCCATCATCGGGGATCGAACCCAGAACCTAGGATTACGAGTCCAGAGCGCTGTCCACTCAGCTGTCAGGGCCCCCCCCTCCAGATTTGAGTGTGTGTATGTGTATTCACCTAGTTGTGCTTGTGGGGGTTGAGCTCTGTTCTTTCCGCCAGCCACTCAACTATCAATCAATCAACTAACTACTACTATGCTAGTAGTAGTTGCTAA